ATTATCACTATCATTATCATTATAATTATAATCATCATTATCATTATCACTATAATTATAATCGTCATTATCATTGTCCATGTTGCAAATAAGTAAAGGAGAGATATCCATGGGTAAGGTTGTGGACGAAACTCCTCCAGAAATCAATCGACAGGTTACACATTAATATTAATTGTTTATTAGAGTTTTGGCAGAGTTCGCATTTGGGGTTTTGTCAATCGCCAGAGTTTTGACAGTCACTAAGAGGTTTCGGCAGGCAACCTTAAACCAAACGTCCCACTTTAATTGTAAATCATTGTTTCAGTAGGTGAAATGAAGCCACATTTATATTATCGGCTAAATGTACATATAAGCCGATTTGGTTTTTGGACCTTTTTTTCAAACCTTATATCTTATCGTGTCTCGACGTTAAACACGATAAACATGATGTGTAAACTGGTCAATAGAATGATAATTAACCCCAAAAAATTTATTTGCATCGCTAAAAAAACTATTTTACTATCAACCAATGGCCCACCTCAAGACCAATTGGTTTTTGCTAGTATATTCATAACGTTATGATACTGGATTTTGGGTTTCAAACAAAATCAGTGCATATGAAGATAATGGTGAGTAAAAGCGAAACACAACTAAATTTATTTACTACTATTGAAATCTTTGTGATTATAATTTATTGTCATCATAATTAACATATATCTGCTTTAGTGTTATTAACTCTATTATTATTATTATTATTATTATTATTATTATTATCATTATATTATTATAGTTTATTGAAAGATAATATAACAGTTGATTCATAATGAGCAGCATAAGAGTTTTTCATTATTTAAAAGAAATTTTATCAAATAACAACATAATTACATAGTTGTGTGATTTTTTATTAATCTCCGCTTAAATAAAAAAATATTTTTTATATATAATTAACCGGTTAGGGGTTTTTTGACTGATTCTAATCTCTATATAAAAGGCTTCTTTGAATTGTAAAAATGGTCCTTTGATGAATTGTAGAAAAGTACTTTTGACATTATCATAATAAATTTAAATTGTAAAAACTATATTTTTGGAGGATTGTAAAAGCTTTTTTTGAATTACAGAAAATGGTCTTTTGACAAATTGTAAAAAAAAGACTTGACATTATCCCATAAATCATTTAAATTGCAAAAGTCATCTCTGAATTGTAAAAAATGGTCTTTTGGCGAATTGTCTCTTGACATTACCTAATAAATCATAAAAAATAGACTTTTGGCGTGAATTTTAAAAGGTTTTTTTGAATTGTAAAACAATTGTCCTTTGGCAAATTATAAAAAAAGACTCAACATTATCCTAGCAAATCATTTAAATTATAAAAAACAGGCTTTTGGCGCGAATTGTAAAAGGCCTTTTTTGAATTGTAAAAATGGTCTTTTGGCGAACTGTTTGGTGGAATATAAAAAGGGTAAATATTCCAACTTCTTTTACTATAATTGAAGTAATATCTTTGATATAATTAATAAACTGACAACTAATTATCTATATATGTGATTGCTTATTGTAATTTTTCTCTTTAAAAATCAATTATTTTTAATCACCTACATAATATGCATTTATCTATTTTTTTTTTAATTTGTAAAATGCATTGCGTAATTCTATGCTAATTTTATGCACATGATATAGACATTATTCATTATTATGAACTTACTGCGGCCAGTTTATTTGTGTTCGTTTATTCGTTTATTTAATATTAATTATTATTGTTACTTATTTGAATATTAAACTTTCCTTTTAAGAAAATATCGATGTAAATCATGTGGGAACCGGTTTGCGGTTACATGATCAGTTCGGTTCAGATCCAGTTCCCTAGTACTAGTGGAACTGCCCATTCTTAACACCAGTGTTGAAAATTCGGTGCGGGGAATGCGGGGGTGTAACATTACACACCAATCAACCTTTTAATTTTTGGAGATAGTTTCTAAATTTGTACTGGTTACACAACGAAATTTCAACACTGCTTAACACTCGCTACATGGTATCCCTAAACTCTTATAATTAAAAAATGATTTTTAAATTCTATCGAAAGGAAGAGGGATGTTCTTGATAGACAGAATAGTTTTGCGTTTCGTGTTGGTTAAGCTGCTTTTTGTTCTATATGATTTATTTGCATATAATGCAAATATCTGAATGGTTGTTGTTGTTGTCACCAATCTCAACATTGGGTAATGTGTAATGTTTAATTTTTTGAAAGGAACCTTATGCATGTATGTATGCATGTTAATCTCAGGGGGAATACCTTTTATTATTTATAAGGAATATAACAACTCGTGTAACATAAAATTTGCTTATTATGGGAATGGTCCTGATTGAAAATCACCAATTCATTCATTCGGAAAAGAAAAAATTAATTAATATTAATATTAATATTAATACTAAATATTTAGCCCGATATACGATATACCACTTAAGGATATAAACTTATCTATATTTTTTCTATTGTCGTGCATTTACCATATAGCAACGTTATTTATTGATGTGATGCGGATTTTCCTTTAACTTCTCTTAATCTCTGTAAATAGAAATCACTTGCTCTGGATTGAAACAATTACAAGATTATAATGTTTTGCATATTTGAGTAAGTAACCAGTCAAATAAAAAGTACCAAATTGCAAAAGCAAATAAAAATAATTACAAATTACATTAATTGAATTAATAGATTGATAAAATAAAACAATAGATATGCATATATTTTATCTACCGTTAGTTTCCATTATAAATATAAGGGTTAATAAACTTTCCGAGAAAAAATAGGCACTTTTTTTATAATTATTATTCAATTTACTTTTACTAGAAAAAAAAATTAAAAAAAAAAAATAATAATTTTAAGAAAATTGTTAAATTTAAAATTTTTTTATATATTATAACAAAAATTATAAAACATAATAACCTTTAGGATTTTGTTTAAAATCAGAAGATTTAATAATTACTAATCTAATAACAACTATTTTGTCGATATATTCTCTGGTTTATTTTCACAATATATGAGGGAAACCTTTCCAGACGAAACGTTCCTCATTATTATTGTAGAGATTTCACGTGAGCTACCAGCAAATGAAAAGATTTAGAAGAACAAATATAACAAAATCTTATTTTAGAATTTTGGCAAAGAAAATAGGAAAATGATTTCTCCTGAAAACGTTGCTACATCGTTATCTTCGTCATCATCTTCGTCATCATCATCATCATCATCATCATCATCATCATCATCATCACCACCACCACCATCATCATCATCACCATCATCATCACCATCATCATCATCATCATCATCATCATCATCATCATCATCATCATCATCATCATCATCATCATCACCATCATCAATCAACGCTGAAGTTTACAATGATGACGTATTTGATACAGTAGAGAGCAAACCATCAGTCCTGGATAATACTCAGTGCTCGACTCAAGAAGTAGACCTCAGGCATTTGCCTCAAGAAGAATTCAATGAACAGTTGTCATTACTTAATCATTATCAACAATATATAGATAACAGCGACAATAATATTAATAATATTATTAGCACCAATGAACCGACCACAATGGAAACATTTACTCTACATCCAAATGTCATCCGGGCTATGACGGATCAACGGCCAGATAGCGTATATTACGGACTATCTGAAACTAATAATACCAACATCGATATTGGTCATTTTTATTACGGAGAAAATCTAATTGGTTATAATAACCGATATTCCGATAGTTTATTTGACTCTTAATAGATAACATATGATTTCATTTCATTTTCATTATACTAACTACTGCTGGGATCGATATTTTTGTCGCAAATGTGACAACCTTTACACATGACTTTATATATACATATATGAACTCAAAAATTAATAGTTTAGTGTGATAATAAGCAATTAAGATGATCATTATTAAGAAACATCATATTATTATTATATTACTTGTTAAATCCATGGGTCTGGTACAGCAAATTTTATGAATTTATCGAATTATGCCATTATCAAGAGTTGCTCTTGAATTTCACAATATAATAAGACTAGGAAATATAGAGACTTTTCTATGAAAGATAAAAAAATTTTATTGTAATATATATAGTTATAACAAATAATAAAAAAATACTAAAAACAAATCATTATTCATTTGTAACAAAATTATTCATAGTTGATTGCTTCATATTGTCTAAATAGAATTTAAATAATTGTGAATGAAAATTTCTTTAACAGGAAAATTTTAAATTTACTACTTGCGTAATAATAGTAATTATTATCCATATTTTTATGGTTAAACGCGACGTTGGTTAAAGACACCCGTCGTATTTAGTAATTGCAGATCACAAATAATTCAAGAAAATTTTCTCACAACTAATATGACTAATAATGCTAATGACAATAATTATATTAATCTTGCAGCAGTTGTATCTATTTGCAGCAACTGTGCCTACGGCAAGCGTCTTTAGTATTAGTTTGGGTGTTCCACATCATATGATTCACTATTACAAAACATGGTCGAGCACGCATAAATTTCATATTAATATACGGAGGTTCTCTTGGTTTTGATGTCCTCTGACGAAATTTAAGTTTTTTACATAGTATATACTGTAAGCTATAAGATGAAAATATTAGACCTCTGTTTACTTAGGAAATTGTAACCACAGGCATTTACTATTAATATTATTGAGTTACAATAACTGCATTAATAGTAAAATTTAATACCAAAAAAATTGGAAATCAAATCTCTTGTTAATAATATTTGTAAAATCTTTTTAAAAAGGAAATCATTGAATTTATTATATTTAATATGTGATGTTATATGTTACTAAATAAAATAATAATAGTAATAATAATAATAATAATAATCATAATAAATATATCAATAGTAGTGGTAGTGGTAATAAAACTATACAATCTATGCTTTTTCTTTAATAAATAATAAAATTTCACAAAGGATTATTAATCATAAAGGTTAAATGAATTGAATATTAACGTCCGGAACAATTATGATGCTGCACCACAATAAAACTGTTCAGTAGCAATATCAAAATTATTGTTATTATTACTAGTAAATGGTTCGAAATGTACGCTATCTATGAGATTTGCTTGTGGAATAATGGTAACCAGCTCATTCGTGCTAATATCATCCCCATTATTTATCAATGGTTCATTTTCTACTGGATCAAATATGTCAACTCCAGCGTTGGTTGAAAGAAAACTTTCTAAAAGAAGATGATGGAGACGTAGCAACAACGATTTCGTTATTAGCAATTTTTACCAAAATTCTAAAACAAATATTTGTTGAATTCATGTCCCCTAAATTATTCCATACTCCAGCAGCATTACGTGAAATCTTTATCATAGAGAACGTTTCATCCGAATACTTTTTCCTCAAATGTTCAACCAAAATTCTTTAGGAATATTATCCATGCATTTTGCATCCTTTGTGGAGTTTTCTTAGTTTATTAGAAAATGAAGCCAAATCGTCAATCATCATCTTTACGATGTCTGGTGGATTTTCGAGTATTTTTTTTTTTTTGCTCTTCTGATAAATTCAAGCAATTTTATATTTAGTTTATTGATCAACAAAAATTTAGAGCTGTATTTATATAAAGAATTATTTATATTTTGTTCTACTATTTTTTTAAAAAAAAATATAATCAATCGGCCATTAATTATTTGATTCATCATGTCAATCAATCGGTTATGTTAAATTGGTCAATTATGTTAAATCAAATTTTTCTTGTTCAATAAAGTCCTGAAAAGCAAATTATTCATGCGTGATTTTCATTTAGCCGATAGTTTTACAACTACGGCTTTAAATAAAAGGATATGCTGGGCTGGGCTGGTTCTTAATTAACTACTCTTTAGAATTTTGATCTATTATTTTTTAATTTTTGTCAGCTAATCCATTGCAACTATGACGATAATTAAATAAAAAGTTACGATGGGTCGAGCTTGTTATTTTTTTAAAAAATATTAAGCAATAATCAATTATATAATTAATATTAATTGTTCATTTTTCACGCGTGCTGTCAATTATTTTGTAATGCTGTATATTAAGGGTGGTGTTTGATCGTTATAACACTAATAATAAATGAATCGACTATATAAAGAAACAAGAATTGTCCCAAGACCAGAACGTTTATTAAGAAATTGGTTTAACGTGAGGGATCATTACATATGATTGACAAATAAAAAAAAGACATTCCAAATAGTGTTGTAAACAATTATTTGTTTGAGTGAAGGAACAATTGATAATATATTTAATCAGATGAATAATTTGTGTATATACTAGAAAATAGTTTTTCATATCAAAACTTGTTAGAAATATTTATACATTGAATCTCATACTCCTTTTCTAATTAGAATTGCATATTCCATCAGATTTTCCCGAATGTTCAGAATCGCGGACAACATTAAATAATAATAATAATATGCTGCAGCATAACATTCCGCAAAATTATTGAGATGAAATATACAAATTTTCGAACAGAAAGTAAATAAATAAATAATAAATTGTTATTAATCATCCAACAAATCTTCGTGATAAGAGCCATTATGTGTTATTGCTGTTGATGAACAGAGGAGGACAATATCAAACGTGTTTGAGGGAGGAAGTTGACAAAGGAGAAGATAATTCCAAAGGAGTCCGATATGGTGATGAATTTCTTGGATTTAAAAAGTCCACCTGGTTGCTTTCACATTCAATAATAACTTCTTACTGATGCACAACCATCCAAAAACATGAAATGGGATAGGATACTTTTGCATATGTAATCTGCCACTGAGTTAAATCTTTTTGGTTTGTTATATACTGTAATACAGAGATATTCACAATCTTCGTCTTCTTTCAAAAAGTCATTATATACTTGGTATGAAATTTTGAACATGTTAACATGATTATCGTCATCATCTATTTTAATAACTTTGTGGTCACTTACAATCTCACCAGAAAATTATTGCTAATGTCAATGATTGTTTGGGCCTTTTCAGATCACCATGTCAAGTTTGATTGCTTGGTGAATTATCAAATAATAGATAATGTGAGAAGACATAATTAATTATCATTAATCAAAAAAATCCGATTGACCATTTGCAGTAAAAAACTTACTTTAATTTTGACATCAACCCAAAAATGAATATACATCATGGAATAAATATTCAGACGATCTATGAATTCCAAACAGTCGAATTCTATTTCATTTAACTGAAATATCACCTCGCCAGAGACTGTTTCATTGGTATTTGTGGCGGTTTTTACCAATCAGGTTGTGAATATAATTGATGACGGTGATAAAAAAATTTGCAGGTAATAAAACATTATATTTATTGTTGTCATTTGGCAATAGTATTTATAACTTGAATATCCATATTTAACGATAAAGTAGATTTACCATCAGCATGCATACACAAGAGATGCAGCTACGATCAACCAAATTTGGCTAGCTTTAATCACGTAAGCACTTTATTCTATCACTTTAATTAGAAACAATGCAATTGTTATTAATTCATCACAATTTACCAAATTGAGTTAACAATATTAAAATTTTATTTTTTTTTTTTGGTGACATTTTATTGGTTTGAATTTTACATATGAAATTAAAAAAAGAAAATTACATAGTAATAGAAATAAAACAATTT